CGTAGGCACACTCCAATTTGCCTACCGCCCCAACAGATCCATAGACAACGCAATCTCAATTGCACTGCACACTGCCGTCACCCACCTAGATAAGAGGAATGTGAAAATGCTGTTCATTGACTACAGCTCAGCATTCAACAACATAGTCCTCTCCAAGCTTGTCATCAAGCTTGGGACCCTGGGACTGAACACCTCCATCTGCAACTGGATCCTTGATTTTCTTACAAGCCTACCCCCAGGTGGTGAGGGTAGGCAACATCAACTCCGCCACGCTGACCCTCAACACGGGGGCACCACAAGGGTGTGTGCCTAGTCCCCTCCTGTACTCCCTGTTTATCCAAGACTGTGTGGCCACGCACGATTCCAACACCATCATCAAGTTTGCTGACGACACAACGGTGGTAGGCCTGATCACCGGCCATAATGAGACAGCCTACAGGTGAGGAGGTCAGTGACATGGCAGTGTGGTGCCAGGACAACAACCTCTCCCTCAACGTCAGTAAGACCAAGGAGCTGATCGTGGACAGCAGGAAACGGGTGGGGGGCGAGTGGAGCGGGTCGAGAGCTTCAAGTTTCATGTTCTTTGGCGTCAAAACTTAAAATGGTCCCCACACATGCACACAGTCGTGATGAAGACAACAGGACCTCGTCTCCCTCAGGAGGTTGAAAACATTTGACATGGGCCCTCAAATCCTCAAAAGGTTACAGTGAGGGAAAAAAGTATGTTTGCCCACTGACAAAGACATGATCAGTCTATAATTTTAATGGGAGGTTTATTTGAACAGTGAGAGACAGAATGACATCAACAAAATCCAGAAAAACACATGTCAAAAATGTTATAAATTGATTAGCATTTTAATGAGGGAAATAGGTATTTGAACCCTCTGCAAAACATGACTTAGTACTTGGTGGCAAAACCCTTGTTGGCAATCAAAGAGGTCAGACGTTTCTTGTAGTTGGCCACCAGGTTTGCACACATCTCAGGAGGGATTTTGGCCCACTCCTCTTTGCAGATCTTCTCCAAGTCATTAAGGTTTCGAGGCTGACGTTTGGCAACTCGAACCTTCAGCTCCCTCCACAGATTTTCTATGGGATTAAGGTCTGGAGACTGGCTAGGCCACTCCAGGACCTTAATGTGCTTCTTCTTGAGCCACTCTTCTGTTGCCTTGGCTGTGTGTTTTGGGTCATTGTCATGCTGGAATACCCATCCACGACCCATTTTCAATGCCCTGGCTGAGGGAAGGAGGTTCTCACCCAAGATTTGACGGTACATGGCCCCGTCCATCGTCCCTTTGATGCGGTGAAGTTGTCCTGTCCCCTTAGCAGAAAAACACCCCCAAAGCATAATGTTTCCACCTCCATGTTTGATGGTGGGGATGGTGTTCGTGGGGTCATAGGCAGCATTCCTCCTCCTCCAAACACGGCGAGTTGAGTTGATGCCAAAGAGCTCGATTTTGGTCTCATCTGACCACAACACTTTCACCCAGTTCTCCTCTGAATCATTCAGATGTTCATTGGCAAACTTCAGACGGGCCTGTATATGTGCTTTCTTGAGCTGGGGGAACTTGCGGGCGCTGCAGGATTTCAGTCCTTCACGGCGTAGTGTGTTACCAATTGTTTCTTGGTGACTATGGTCCCAGCTGCCTTGAGAGTGTGCTCCTAATCTCAGCTCGTTACCTGTATAAAAGACACCTGGGAGCCAGAAATCTTTCTGGTTGAGAGGGGGTCAAATACTTATTTCCCTCATTAAAATGCAAATCAATTTATAACATTTTTGACATGCGTTTATCTGGATTTTTTGGTTGTTATTCTGCCTCTCACTGTTCAAATAAACCTACCATTAAAATTCTAGACTGATCATGTATTTGCCAGTGGGCAAACGTACAAAGTCAGCAGGGGATCAAATACTTTTTTCCCTCACTGTATACAGCTACACCAAAGAGAGCATCTTGACTGGCTGCATCACTGCTTTCTTTGGCAACTACACTGCCCTCGATCGCATGGCGCTACAGAGGGTGGTGCGGACAGCCCATTACATTATGGATTAACGCAGGTAACCGGGATCCCACGACCACTCTTCCCATTTCCTGGGAAATTACAGCATTTTCCCCCAATGTAGCACTAATGCAATTTCACAGAATACACAACATCTGCAGCAGCAGATTGGCAAAAAATCTAATAGCACATTATCCAAACAGGTTGTAGGATGGAAGGCTTTAGCCTAGTGTATTTACTTCACACAAAGTCGCCATAGATTCGCCATAAAAATAGTAGGCTATATTGATTTAAACTGGTGTTGAGAACAGTGCGGCGGAGGTGGGTGGCAGCAGAGTGAGGAGATGAGGATATAGCCATTGGGCCTAGAAAAAGCACAGAGAGAGGAACACTCACCTTAGTTATGATCAACTGAATGATGAACATATTGGAATAAAGTAAGCTAATGCAATTGAAGGCATGTATCAAATTCTTGCTTATACTGAATACAACCGTTATACTAATTTCAAGCAATAGTCGTGTGTGGTCACCTAGATGATCATTTCAGCACCGTTTTGATTGGGACAGTGCCATCGCATGTTATACGAGTGGATGTTGCTCTTCACTCGCGTAGTAGCCTGGCCTATTCATGACCAAAAGCCTGTGACATGTCTGATAATCAATCATAGGGATTTTGTTTTGTTTTACTGTCTGTATATTCGGTTAATTGATCTCTGGTTGGACAGGTGGAAGTGGTAGATCATTTATTTGTTTGCTCATCTATCACTAATCAGAAACATTTAGCATGCAATAATGTAGCCTAAATCAAGTGTAGTATGTATGTATTGACTCACGTAGTAGCCTTATATAGAGGCTAGGCTATTTTCCTATCGTCCCAATCCCACTGAAACCCAAGATCCTGACTCCTGTCTCTCATGAAAATTCCTAACTTTATTCTGTAATCCATAGGTTGCATTATCAAAGCACGTCTCGCTTATGCATGTCAAAATACCGTTATAACATTTCCCCTGATTCTCTGCACTGTCTCATATTGCTGCCCATATGAGAGCTTCGGTAGAGAATGTGTGATCAACAAACGGTATGAGATTAGATAGGCCTATGGATATTTTTTTTAAAGAGTTGGTCCCCTTTAAAATACTGTACTTGATATTTAAACAATTTCCTCTCTTCATCTCCACGTTATTCATGAGCTGATCTGCTATCTGTATAGTCAACTCGATTTTGCCAAATAGGAGATATTCAGTCATTCTTTCGAGGTTATCTAGCAAGCTTAGCAACTTTGGTCATTTGACATTTGTTTGACTGCCGTTAAAAAGTTTGTATAGTTCGACAACGCTATGGCCTATTCGGGGTGCGCTCTGTGCGTCCTGGAGCGTGCTCTGTGTGGAGATAGCCTAGGCCTACTGTTGAAATGCACTGAATTAATTGAGGGCCATGATAACGTTCTGAATTTATGAACGGCCTGTTTTGCAATTGACAACAATTTCATTGGCAATCAAAGTTACTCTATCATTACTAAATATCACTTTCACTTGCTGTGAAATCTGTACATAATGGCGCAGCCAAGACGGCAATGTGGCGCAAAAACAATCTTATTTTGGGAGAACCCTGAGTGACCATATCTTAATTTTAAACGCTTGAAATGGACATTTCGATTTTTGCAGTATTTCCAGGGACTCTTGGGATAAATATGAATTATTCCCGGTATTGACATTTGGTAGATTTTGGGGATAATATTAATCCGTACAAGACATCACTGGGGCCGAGCTCCCTGCCATCCAGGATATCTAAATCAGGCGGTGTGAAAGGAAGGCCCGGAAAATTGTTAAAGACTCCAGCCACCCAAACCATAGACTGTTCTCTGCTTCAGGACTGCAAGCAGTAACGGAGCAACAAGTCTGACACCAACAGGCTCCTGAACAGCTTCTATCCCCAAGCCATAGGACTGCTAAATAGCTAACAAAATGGCTACACGGTCTATCTGCATTGACCCTTCAATATGTTATTATGATTATGTTTTGCACTGACTCCATGCACACTCTACACACTCACTCACTCACTTAGCTTTGTTTTCGTGAAATTTCAGGATGTTTTGGAGGGTAAAAATGTTGACCATAAAAATCCTATTTTCCCTAAACCTAATCCTACCCCTAACTCTTAACCTAACCCTAACCTTAACCCCAAAAACCCTAACCCTAAACCTAACCCTAACCCTAAAACAAAGTTCTTGTTTTACTACCTTTTCAGGACATTTGGGTGAAATGTTATGACTTTGGGGTCCTGATAATGTAGGAAAACAAGTACACACATACACTGACACTCCAACACACACGCATACACATTCATACTGACTCTACACACACGCACTCCCATACAATCATCATACTCTGTTTATAATAATGTATATCCTGATGCCTAGTCACCTTACCCCTATACATATCTACCCCTACCACTCCAGTATCCCTGCACATTGTAAATATGGAATTGGCACTGACCCTGGAACTGACCCTGTATATAACATTTACATTTTTACATTTTAGTCATTTAGCAGACGCTCTTATCCAGAGCGACTTACAGTTAGTGAGTGCATACATTATTTTTTCATACTGGCCCCCCGTGGGAATCGAACCCACAACCCTGACTTTGCAAATGCCATGCTCTACCAACTGAGCTACATCCCTGCCGGCCATTCCCTCCCCTACCCTGGACGACGCTGGGCCAATTGTGCGCCGCCCCATGGGTCTCCCGGGTCACGGCCGGCTACGACAGAGCCTATAACTTATTTACTTTCTCGTGTTATTTCTATTTCTCGTGTGTTTTTGTTCTAATTTATTTTATAGTACTACTGATATTGATTACTGCATTTTTGAGAAAGAGATTGCAAGAAAGGCATTTCACCGTACTTGTGCACGTGCCAATACAACTTTAAACTTTAAACAAGAACCAATTGTCATTATGAAATAATCAAACAAAGCAAGAGCATTCATTTTAGTATTTATTTCCTTACATTTTAAAAGTGGTAAACTCACACAACACAAATATATAAATATATCCCACAAATAAGTTAAATAAATAATTTCAGAGTTTTGTACAGTAGATAACAACACATTTTATGAGTAAACATTTCTTTCAACTTCCTATAGTGTCCTTGACTGCTAAATAGACTATTGAGGGTGAATTGTCCTTCTAGAGATAACAACAGTTCATAAAACAAAAGCACAGTCCAGCATTTTGATACACAAATTCCTAAACAACACACAAACAAATAAATAAATAATAATATCATAAATATACAGCATTGTAATATTGGACTTGAACATCAGTGGAAGACTTGTTTTTTGATGTAGTGTTTACAGTAAATGCCTTATGGCCAGACAGTGGCTGGCGTACAGCTATCAGCCCAAGTCATCTAAAGTGTACTGGACATTAAAACACATTCCTTTGAAGGCATTAGAACAAAAGTACATTGCCAAAATTTCCTAACGGGTATTAACATGGACATTAATGGACATTTGTTGAAAGCAGAAAAACAATCACTGCACATTTGGCAAGGAGCAGACCCATTGAAACCTGCTGCCTTCACTCTGTCTACAATCAAAACAATCAACAGTGGCTATGCAATAAATACTTCCGTCATGACAATAGACCTGCTTTTATCTGCTGCTTCAGGAAGGCTGTGTTTGTAGTAATTCCCTGTCCCTTAAAGTAATGTCCTTCATGTGCCAAAAAATATTTCAAGTAATTTAAATGCATGCATGGCAATCACTATAAACTGGCAATTAATCTCTGATACAGAGGATTAAAAAATATGTTTTTATGATATAGTACATGTCTTGCGACAGGTAAAGTAAGGATCAAAATCAAAATGAGAATAGTGGTCAATATTTCCAAGGCACTAATGAAGTAAGCCTGTAAACTGAACATAGGCTAAGATCCCTCCAGAATGCCTTGGCTTGCATCCACCCATTTCAGGTGCTCAGACACATAACGTGTATTTATGTTTGGGACATGATGACAACCCATGCCCAGCAAACAGTCAGTAACCATTCTAGTCCAGACTGTCATAGTTCACAGAGGACACACATAAACCTCCCTAGTCTTCTAAGCCAGACTCTTAGCTAGATTAGTCCAAGACTCATATCCAGATAATGTCCATATCCAGTCCACTGTGTGGTATACAACAATCAGCGGGCAGCCAGTGGGCAGTGTTCCATCTTTGCCCTCTTCTCAGGGCCTCTCCTCTCAGGACCTCTCTGTCTTCCCTGGGGAGGACTCCCTAATCTCCTCCAGGCGGTCTTTGTTCGGATGCTCTGGAGCTATTCAAGCTCCTCTTCCTACCTCCTCCTCATCTACCTGATGTTCAGTCTGTTGGCTCTGGAGGCGTTCTTCTTCCTGGAGGGAGCACCCTTCTCTATGGCAGCCATGTTGGATTGGACCATGTTTCTGTAAAGAACAAAGAGAGAAACATCAGGTTAAGATCAGATTCCATGTTGTCTTTTCAAAGACACAAAAAAAAACTTGCTGAATGTTAGTGGGATCTCTCTATTGGCCAATACTTCTGGCCTGAAAAAACATCCTCAATGGAGAATCTCCATTGGGCATGCTTTTTAGTCCAGCAATAAGATTAACCTAGGTCTGAGAAACTGCTCCTAAGAGGCTGTGATGGTATCTTGTTTTTCTCTTACCTGAGAGAGGTCAATAGGTCGTTGCTGGTTGTGTCTGGACTGCTAACAGTCTGGTCCAGGGTCTGGTCTGAGGGGCCTACCACTACGAATCTGGGGTTCTCTGAGCTGCAGACAGAAAGAACAACCATGTCAAAATGAGAGCAAACCAAGAAAACATTATTTAGACTACTCCTTAAGGGCCATGAGACTGGATTCTGTACCACAGAATTCTACAATACTAGCAGTGAGAGACGATTGGCTATGGATTTCAACCCAGTAATGTCTGTACCTCATGCCCTACAGCCTGTTCTCAGTGACTTTTCACAGAGCAGGATAAAACCTCGTTGGGACACACAGACTAATCCTCAACCTTGGTATGTCATAACAGCAATAACTGTAGTAATAAAACAGACATTCCCGCCGGTAAAACATTCCAAAAATAGTGTCATGACTAATGGACCTGTCTGTAAGGGAGCTCTAAGCCTCCAGAACATGCAGGCTATTCCCACATCCATCCTCCCTCCCCCTCCTCCCTCCTCCCCTAGTTACACATCTAAAGACAATACGCCTCCTCCCTGCATCTCCTCCACAAGCAGCCCTGATACAACCTGATACAGGCAGGTCACAGATGACTGACTGACACTGATAGTCACTGGCTTGTAACAATCTGGTATCTAGCAGGGAGGCAAGGCGGGGAAGGAGTTGGAGAGGATGAGGGAGGGAAGGAGGGTAGAAGTTCCTTATCTCTGAAGGTGAGCTCACCTGTTGTGGCAGAATCTGGAGCAGGTCCTGTCGGCTGGGTGGGCACATTCACATCGCCCGGTAGAGCGGCGACGTCGGGACAAGGGGCTGCCAAGACCGTAGGGGATGATCTTATTGGGAGTGTTGACCCAAATGATGTCCAGGTGACAGAAGTAGATGCATTCGTTGTCCAGCCAGTTACTGCAGGAGCATCGTTTAACCCTGGTGTGGTGTGGGCTGTTCTGGGATGGGGACTGGGCAGGGAGCTCAGGCTGGCTGGATACAGGGAGCCCAAAACCTATAGAGACAGAAAAGATCATTGGTTAAGAGCCTGGTTATAACTCAGCAGAATCACCGGATGACTGTGCAATTTGGCAATCAGCACCGAGCAAATACACATAACCACATCCTAATCAAAATCCCTTTTCACTGATACAGAGAAGTACATGTAGGCTAACTGCCATCCCATTCTCCTATGCATCAGGTCTTGTCAAACACATTTGGACTTTGATTTATAACTAATATGTTATGAAAGGTTATTCAAGTCAAACAAAGACTGAGTTGTTTCAAGTCAAATGCAGTGATAATATAATGTGATAGGAGTTGAACCGTGCCAATATAATCTGCATCTAATCAGACAGAGGATGATTATAGCCTATCTTCGAATTGTATTATATCTCTGTAGGGGGAACTGGGGGAGTAGGTCAAAGAGTCTGGCAACAGGTAGCATGTGCCATGAGCCACCCAACTCTCAGTACACCTGCAAGAGCAGCGATTAACTGAGCTATCATTCTGAGAGTGAAACTAAGTAATGACAAGACTAAGCATATATGGTGCAGCAGGAATTTTAACATCAGGGTGGCAGGTGGGCTGGAGGTTAGCGCATTGAGCCAGTAACTGAAAGGTTGCTGGTTCGAGTACCTGAGCCGACAAGGTGAAATATATGTCAATGTGCCCTTGAGCAAGGCACTTAACCCTAATTTGCTCCAGGGGCGCCGCACTACTTTGGCTGACCCTGTAATACAACAGATTTCACTGCACCTATCCGGTGTGTGACAATAAAATGTAAATGTTTCTCCATCTTTTGTCATTGTGGGTTGTATCATGTTATTCTGGATCTCCCCGCACCACCTCAGCCAACTCTGACATCTCAACTAAACTATGACCCCTCATGTTCCATTTAATAGCCTCATGAAAAGAAAATGTAATACTTATATAATAAAACAAAGTGATATAAATGTTTAATAAAAAGTTATAGCTTACCCTCCTGCAGGAGCACACAGAGTGTGATGATGGTGAGAGCCAGGATGGAGTTCAGTGATAGAGCCATAGTTATTCTCTGATAGAGTATCTCTGAAGACGTAGAATGTAATAATATCCAAGAGTCCACAAGACAATAGAGTAGAGTTAACAGTAATAGTAGCTACAGCTTTACAGTCCTGAGTGATGCCAATAAAGAGAAAGAGAGAGGCAACAGGTGCTTTGTGCTGTAGTGTCCTCTGGCCCTCTACTTATGCCCCAACTCTGTGATGTCACCTACCTTACCACACCTCCTACCCATGTTGTTTCACAATGATCACCATTCAGCAGCTGCCTGCCTGCCTCTCACTCTTGACACATTCCAGGCAACAGGAAGAGAGAAGGAAAATGAATTAACTGCTATTGTGTAGTTGTTGTAACCCTTATGGAGTATGGCGGTCATTGTCATTGACAGAGACAGAGACAGGAAATCACCAGAAAAGGCTTGGAATCTGGGAATGCTTTGGATTTTTCCGGGACGTAAGGCAGGCAGGAGAGGGAAACCTGTAGGCGGAGGGAAGACCTGGTGTCATCAGTAAAAGGAAAGGCTGTAAAGATAGTGGCTGATGATGGGGACTGTTGTTTTGCATGCTGCCACTACAGGTCCTCAGGGCTGGTGATGTTCACAGCAGAGGGAGCAATCAGAGCAAGACCCAGCGCCCCCGTGGAACAGAGAGGTCAGAGCCAGATGCATCCGGGACAACCCCACTGTCACACACGCTATCTCAGTGTCGGCAATTTGACAGACGTGTGACATGATCCCTGATACAGAGATAGTGTAGAACACGCCACATGACCCCCAGGGGGCCCACACAAGCACACACACACATTAACACCGACACACAGTCACACACACACACCACATGCAAGCACACACATACACACACACAGACATACACCCTTCTGCCCGTTTGCATGGCCAATCACACAGTCCTTCCACTCTGACAAGACAGCTGTAAATCTTGATCAGCCTGAGGGAAGGAGCTGCCCTCCTACATAGTGGAGTGTCAATCTAGATAGACAAAAGACTAGCAAAGTCATGCAAATCTTCCTGGGTATTCTTGTTCCTATCAGTGGTGAAGGAAGACTACGTGATTCAGTGGTAAATTCCAGTAGCACATGATCAGGCAGTGGAAGTGAAAAGCACTACGTGCATCAGATAAAGGAATACCACCAGATAATGCATGTAAATACATAGTTTAAAGGATTACTGCTATGAATACGGTTGATCAGAGTGGAATATAGGTAAGTTCATTCATGCACAAAGTAAAACGTTGTGTTGTGAGGTTCAGAGGGGTAGGCTATGTGATGCCATACTCCAATACTATAGTCTACAGCTAAGCATCTAAAATATAAAGATTTTACAAAGTCTTATTGAGTACAGCAAATAGCATCGGCATCGACGACTCCAATTCACCTGTGGTCAGTGAGGAATAAGTTACATTTGGAGACTGACACCTCCTATCTTTCCCATAAGTTGCATTTGGATACTGAAACCTCCTATCTCGCTAGTACCCATGCAGCCAAATGTTGAAACTATTCCCTGCAGAATGTCAACAGCAGTTTAGGAACAGTAATCACTGTGTTTTATATGCCAGTGTTTTTACTGTAAATCCCCCAGATGTTCCATGTGGAAAAGCCTGCAGTGCAGTAGGCTGCTGTTTGGCCAGACATGATATAGCTATACCATCAAAGGCAAGCTAAAGGTGCACTGGGGACAACCTCAACTCGAAAAACAACATTCTTCAATGAGAGGGGGAAAAAACACTTTGTAGGAACATGCAGTCTTTGTAAGGGGGAGGGGGGCCATGGAGGAAAGGCCAAAGTGATGTCACAATCCACAAAACAATGGCATTTCAGAAACAATTTGTTCCATTAGGAAAAAAAAGTTGTCCAAAGCAAATATTTGTCCAACATTGCGCGGGCTGGCGAGGTGGAACCGGTCTGGAGAAAGACCCCCCACCCCTCCATCCCCCCAAACCCCGCTCTCCCTTGTTCTTTCTAGACAACACGAGGGGGGGGGGGACATGGTAGAGAGAGAGAGAGAGAGAGAGAGAAGATAGCGAGAGATGAGATGAGAGAGAGAAGATAGAGAGAGAGAAGAGAGAGAGATAGGGAGGAGAGAGAGATCGCTAGCCTATTCTCTGGAATCTCTCTCTCTCTCTCCTCTCTCTCTATCTCTCTCTATGCCTCTCGCTTTCTCTTTCTCTGTTCTCGTTTCTCTTTCTCTCTTCCTGCCTTTTGCGCTCACAAACACAGAGCGGATTCCTTGGCACAATCATCATCACCTCCCTTCATTAAAACAGGTCACAGACAGTGAGACAGACACAGAGAAAGAGAGAGTCGGTGACAAAACTAAGTGACTAAACAAAGTGGAATAATCCGCCAGACATGTATGGACATAGGTGGGCAGTCATTATCTTTGACACTTATTTTACTCATAAAATGAGACGACTGCATTTGAGTGCGTCGTATCAGCCAATACCATACAGTATCTGCACAATTAATCATTTGTACATTTTAGTAGATGGTCTTATCCAGAGCGACTTACAGTGAGTGCATACATTTTTCATACTGGCCCCCCGTGGGAATCGAACCCACAACCCTGACGTTGCAAGCGCCATGCTCTACCAACTGAGCTACAGGAGGCCCATCTGTCTGCACCCAATAAAACCCCCTAAATATTATTTGTATGAAGGAAACCACAGACAGGATAGCATAGAGAAGCATACTGAAAGATAACAGCACGTAGACTCGAGTTAAATAATGTCTAAAATGACAGACAGAAAATGTTCCGTTGTAACATTGACTGAGCAATGCCATAGTCAGTTCGGAATGTGTTTAGAATGTGGGAGGTCTGTGATATGACAGGGCAGGATATTAGCATTATGTCGTACTTTTCTGAGAGAGATAATGATTGCTATAAAACAAGAACAAAAGCCAACATCAGTTTCTATATTATACAGGTCACACGGGTTTAGCGGGGATGGAGCAACAATTAAAACACACCTGCCTTTAAGCACAGACTGCCCCACTCCCTCTCACTTCTTTATCCTGTCAATTCCATTGGTATGAGTATGTAGAGATGACACAGGGTAAAGAATGTAAACATGTATTTGAATGTGGCCCAACACCTCTTTATGAGTGGGGGTTGGGAGTGAAACCATGAGGGCTGAATCTTGAAACCATAGCAAATCCTGTATCAAGCCTCTATCAACATTATATACCAGCTTTGACCATAATAACCAACATATCCGCCGGCACATCATATCACATACCTCTCAGTGAATTACTAGACTTTCAAAGAAATAAAGCAATAACAGCTTCTGACTCAAAGTTTCCGCTCAACACCCACCTCCAAAAATAAAACAAATGTTTGATGATAGTCCAGGTGTTTATATGGTGATATGTGATTCAGGGTCACTAACTATGAATCATATCTGCCCAGGAGCAATCCAGGGATGGTGTCCTTATTACTCCACAGGCACTATAAATTCACTGAACAAAATCATAAATGCAACATGCAACAATTTCAAAGATTTTACTGAGTTACAGTTCATATGAGGAAATGAGTCAATTGAAATAAATTCATTAGGCCCTAATCTATGGATTTCACGTGACTGAGAATACAGATGTGCATCTGTTGGTCACAGATACCTTAAAAAAAAGATAGGGGCGTGGATCAGAAAACCAGTCAGTATTTGGTGTGACCACCATTTGCCTCATGCAGTGTGACACATCTCCTTCGCATAGTGTTGATCAGGCTGTTGATTGTGGCCTGTGGAATGTTGTCCCACCCCTCTTCAATGGCCGTGTGAAGTGGATATTGGCGCGAACTGGAACGTGCTGTCGTACACATCGATCCAGAGAATCCCAAACATGCTCAATGGGTAACATGTCTGGTGAGTATGCAGGCCATAGAAGAACTGGGACATTTTCAGCTTCCAGGAATTGTGTACAGATCCTTGCGACATGGGGCTGGGCATTATCATGCTGGAATATGAGGTGATGTTGGCGGATGAATGGCATGACATTGGGCCTCAGGATCCCGTAACGGTATCTCTGTGCATTCAAATTGCAATCGATAAAATGCAATTGTGTTCGTTGTCAGTAGCTTATGCCTTCCCATACCATAACCCCACCACCACCATGGGGCACTCATTTCACATCGCTCACCCACACGACGCCATACACGCTGTCTGCCATCTGCCTGGTACAACGCCGAACTACAGTCAGGTCAAGACCCTGGTGAGGACCACGAGCATGCAGATGAGCTTTCCTGGGATGGTTTCTGACAGTTTGTACAGAAATTCACTGGTTGTGCAAACCCGCAGTTTCATCAGCTGTCCAGGTGGCTGGTCTCAGACGATCCCGTAGGTGAAGAAGCTGGATGGTTACATGTGGTCAGCGGATGTGAGGCCGGTTGGACGTACTGCCAAATTCTCTAAAACGACATTGGAGGCGGCTTATGGCATTAGCTCTAGTGGACATTCCTGCAGTCAGCATGCCAATTGCACACTCCCTCAAAACTTGAGACATCTGTGGCATTGTGTTGTGTGTACATTTTAGAGTGGCCTTTTATTGTCCCCAGTACAAGGTGCACCTGTGTAATGATCATGCTGTTTAATCAGATTCTTGATATACCACACCTGTCAGATGGATGGATTATCTTGGCAAAGGAGATATGCTCACTAACAGGGATGTAAACAAATTTGTGCACAAAATGTGAGATAAATATGCTTTTTGTACGCATGGAACACTTCTGGAATATTTTATTTCTGCTCATAAAACATGGGACCAACACTTTACATGTTGCGTTTATATTTTTGTTCAGTGTATATGGGAATGTGTAACTAACTTCTAACTGTAGCCAGCCAGATGGCTGTATTGGTACAACCGGGTTTACTGCTATTCACGAAATTCCTCAAAGATTACATTCCAATGTCCATAAAAGCATACTTAGATAGAATGTGTGCCCAACATATTACTTCATAGGTGGTATGCTAGTATGGATGTTGGAGCAGGGCCAACGCCTCACTCAACATACTCATTGACCTATTGGATATCATGGCCAGAACTAACACTTGAAAATCCATATTATATCTGGTAGCCGAGATATTCAATTATTTAATTTCAACAAGTTCTCATTAGAATGAGACTCTACTACATTACCAATCCTAAATTACATTGGGAATATATTGACTGAAATGCAACCATGGCTAATTGGAAATGTATAATTATGTCAATTATGCTTTATGTCAATTTCAGGGTGAAATACAGTAGGGATGGATGGCCATTATCTTAACTAGATGATGTCATCGTTTTCAGCAAACTGCAGTCCTGAGCAACAGTCTCCAGTGGCTTGATGCTAGGGACATCTAGTGGCTGACAAAGACATTGTCCTTATAGTGAGACAAAGAAACAGTCTGAACCGCAGCAGCTACTCCAGAGCATACTGTAGATGCCCCATACCAAATCAATCCATATAACCCCTATGCACCCTACACACTAGTGTAGATCTGAGAGAAGTGGATAGGTCGGTGTACGCAATATGGCAACAATTCCACCTGGCTGGTGGTGCTATTACTATGTTATATCTACATAATCCTCTCAGATCTCCACAAGGGGGCAGGGGCTAATAGTAGTTGAGCCACTATCCCAAGTCCACACCTTAGCCCCTGAGGGAAATAGATAGGGCCAAGCAATATGCCGAAAGTTCCACTTTGCCTGTCATATAAGGTGGCACTATTACCGTATTGGTTACATCTTACGTCCTATAGCTAAAGAAGAGGGGATAGAGCTATAGAAAACTCAGTAGGTGATAACGTTTGGAGGGTTGCAGATAGAAATTGCAATTCTAAATTGCTCCATACACTCCATGGCATTGTACATGACTAGTTTGTGACTAGTATCTGACTGCGATATGTGGTTGTCTCGCCTAGCTATGTTAAGATGAATGCACTAACTGTAAGTCGTTCTGGATAAGAGCGTCTGCTGAATGACTGAAATGTACAAATGTACTGGACTAGTGAGGGACTAATACTAGCAGCCACAAGGTGGCGATATACAATACAAGATATACCGTAGCACTGTTGAATGATTCTGCATTGAATTATACAGAACCAAATGTTTAAGGTCGAAAGAAAATATACACAGGGACACCATTTTTTATAAATCTGTAAAAACGAGTTTTAATGGTAAAAGACACATGAAAATGACAAATATGGAAACTGCCTCCTTTATAAAAACGACCTGTTATTACTATATGACAATGACAATAAATATAGACTGCACCATGTACAGCAGATGATCAAAACAATATATATTTATATGAATATCCAATGAGTGGAGTTAGCTTTTCTACCCCGAATGCGTATTCTTATTCCAAGATTTAGTCTCAACGAGATAGTATAAAATAAGATATTATTCTAACCCTGATTCTTCAAAACAAACAGACAACATAAAAAAATGAACAATCTTTAAAGATGGAATCCGCAGTAGGGGAAACGGCGCCACTGTCTGCCACATGGCCATTGTTTTTGTTTTGTTGATGAAGCAGAGGTGAGGAGCGTCGCCCTACATTGTAAAAAAAAATGTGCAGTACATATTCTGCTGTTCTATCGCGCGTGCAATGATGTTCGATTGAAAAACAATAGTGTTCGTTGTTTGCAGTAACTTCTTTGTTGTTGTAATATCGCAAATGGACGTGGCGGTTTCACCATTAAGGATTCCAGCTTTAAAATAAACAATAAATCACAGTCATTAAGAATGACATTTCAAGCCACAATCTTGACAGAAATTGCACTTCAAAATACTAGTCAGGGTGAGTAGATTTCTAGTACCTTTCTATATTTGGTCTTACAGGTGTAGGATCTTCATTTGACCACGCTTTTGTTGCTGAGAATTTTCCTGCACCGCAGGAAATGCAGATGAGCTTTGTGATTTACATAAATTCACTGAAAACCCACACTAACACATGGTTATATTAACAGTATTGCACTTTTCATGTAGCCTACCTTTGACCAGCTAACAGCCTAACCACCGATCAAGCAACATTATAGTCTAAACATTCAAATCCTGTTGATGCAGGATTATTTTGCTGGGACAATATATGTCAAATGAAGATCCTACACCTGTACATCATACAGTATAAAAACAGCAAGAGTAGTATAGTGTATTATAGAGTTATCAAAGGGGTAGACGGGGGCGAGATTAACTAAATAAAATCTTTATCATCTACATTTCATTCCAGCTCTCACAGAGGATAGTACAGAATTGCATAAGAGCACATCAATAATAAATTAACAGCAATGACATCAAACAAAAGAAGAGAGTAAAAAAAGATTACAAAACATATACTGCATATTCAACATATCTATATATTATTCATTTAATTACATAATCACATTATAGTCAGAAGCCGTATGCTCCCGAGTGCTCTTCTTGGATTCCTTTTGTCTTCTTCAGTCTCAAAACCAGAACTGTTTGTAGCTCTGAGACCATATCTGTCTCTGACATGGTACTGTATCCCTTATGTAGGAAATACCATGCCATATCAGATGTACCCAAGACAAGTCTGTTGCACTGATCCCTAAAGGTGCTCCTTCCTATCAGAGTTTAATCTGGAAAGAAGAAGGTATTTTGGCCTTGGGTAGTCACTTGTTAAACACTTCCTCCTCTAACGTGTGTATCTGTATCTCCTTCTGTGTGTGTGGTTCCCCTTCTGTGCTCTTCCGGGCGCCTGTAGTGTGTGAGCTGCCTGCTACCTCTGTCCCAGTGAACAGTAGTTTAGTCTCTTCCCTTTGACTCAAACTCCCATGATTCTCTGGTATCATGGTGCACACCTGTACATGGGCCATACCTGCCTTGTCTGGGAGAGGTCCTGATTGTCTACACCCGGCCCCGGCCTCTCCCTGTCCTACCCTGTTGTCCTGGTAGCTGGTGTGAATGCTAGTGCTAGGCCTAGCATCCTCATTCAGAGTGTTCTGATGGTCCTTCAACGATGAAGGCCAACTAAGTGGCCCTTTGTCCAGTCCAGCTCTCCTGATCCTGGACTGGTCTATCTCTGCTGGGGTAGGGGTGTTCTGGGCTGTCATGGACCGGTCCATTCGTGTTAAGGTAGAGGAGTCCTGCGATGACCTGGATCGGTCTATTACTGCTGGGGTAGGGGTGTTCTGGGCTGCCATGGACCGGTCCATCCTTGCTGGAGTAGGAGTGTCCTTTGCTGCCACAGGGCTAGTCACCAGGCTGTAGAGTGGACTGGTCCTGGGCTGTATCATGTGGATCCCCCCAATGGGGATCATCAGGTTGGTGGTCCTGGCTAGCTGCTGGGAGTGGAGAGGCAGGTGGCTGAGGACACCCCCATGGCCCCCTCTGGATGGTCTAGTCCTGGGGGACAGGAGAGGGGGACGCAGCTCGTTGTCCTCCTGAACAGAGTAGCTCTTCATCTGGGTGGGGATGAGGGGAAGGAAGGGTGTAAAGGTTAGAACCACGACACAACCAAACCACAACGTCAACACGACTTGGAAGAAACATACCATGTTTATATCAGGTGAGCTGACTGAGACATTGACACAAATTTAGAGGCTGATGACAGTCCTTGTGTTTACAATCTCAGACATCTAATGATAGGTGTGTGTCTCGTTTTATCACCGACTGCCCAGAACAAACACATTTGTGTCTATTTGGGATCTCTCACATTATTTTTAGGTTTTGTGTTGTTGGTTTGGTTTGAATTATATAAAAGTAGAGTTACCCTTCCTTCCTTTTCCTAGAAAGGTGTGACTTTAAAATAACCCTGAATGTACCAGCCTGCATATCTATATTTGTTTTGTATGTTTATTTTACTTGAATTTGGCTGTTTAGCCTGCACAGGAACTGCTTTGTGTGCAGAAAGGGGTTTATTTTAATCTCTGAACCGAACCGACTAACCAAACAGAGACAGATTACGTCGCAGGTGAGTGAGCAGCACTGTGGTTATCAAACCAATCCGTCACCACGTTATAGCCAATTATACAACAAAAATAAAAGCGAACCAAACAGTCTTCCATAGCTACCTTGATCAAATATCAACAAGGTCGGACACAAAGTGTGTCTGTGTTGTGTTCTAGCGGTGACAGAGAGAGACAGTGAAATACTCACAAGCCTTGCCTTGGAGCTTGTATCTGTAGCAGGTCTGTCCCTGTGGGGATTTGAAGATGGGTCTCTGGGCAGACAGGTTCTGTGTTCAGCAGGGATGGTAGCCTGAGGGGCAGGGGAGCCACCACTGGGGGACTTGGGCCTGACAGGTGAGAGGCCTCTTAGGGGGGACGGATGTCTCTCTAGGGAGGGGGAGACATGACAACCTAGCAGAGACAGAGAGGAGGGTGGGGAGGGGTGACAGGGGGCAGGGGACAGTTTATGCCTAGGGGACAGGGATGAGAGTGGTGGAGGAGAGGGGTGGCAGGAGACAGGAGAGAGGTTATGCCTAGGGGAAGGGCAGCGGAGAGGAGACAGGTCCCCTCTAGGGGATAGGGAGTGAGCAGGAGACATGTGATGGGTTAGGGACAGAGATAGGGCTGGGGCTGGAGATGAGGACAGGCGATGAGATGGAGATGGAGATAGGGTTGGTGATGGACAGTGCAGTGGGGAGCGGTGACCAGCGCGGTCCAGGTGCCTCCTCCGGGAGAACAGAGCTCTCTTCTTGCTGGGGGAACCAGCAGGGTAACAGAGGCTTGGCTCCTGGGAATTCAGTCTCTGAGGCTGGCTGGACGGGCTTGAACCAGATGGTCTGGTCCTGTCCCGGTCTGGGGTGGTTCTGTTCTGGTCTGGGGGTTTGGGTGGCTTCAGGTGGCTTGTGGAGGTGGTGGAAGGGTCTTCATGGGACCAGGACTCCTCCTCACCATCATCATCTTCATCATCATACTCGTTGTCATCGTAGTCATCTTCAGTTTCACTGACGTCAGAGAATTGGTGCTCGTCCTGTCCTGTCTCTGGCCAGACTGAGCAGTCTTCATTGCCTCCTGAGAGGAAGGGGGGGGGGAGTATAAGGCAACACAACACAACAAAGTATTATTGGATACTTATAAGGTAGACACAGCAACATAACATCGTCCTACCTTCATCAGCCTCAGTCTCTTCCAGGGAAGGGCCGGTCATTGGCCCATCATGGCATTTCTTCCCATGGGCCTTGGACTTCATGTGTTTAGTGAGGTTCCCTGGAACAACAGAGAACCCTCACATTACCATCCCGAGACATCCCTAACAAACTGGATGAACAGAGATGCTAACTCCAAGCAGGTCAGCAGTACCCTTTCCTTATAAATCTATTTTTTAAGAGAGACCTGGTCCCAATAAGGCAGCAATCCCAGTACCTATCCATACCCACTAAAAAGTTGCAGTCCTGTGACTATTTGTAACCACAACAAGGCAGCAATCCTGTGTCTATCCATAGCTCACCTTTGGTTTTGAAGGCAAAGTTGCAGTGCTTGCAGACGTAGGGTCGTGAATCGGTGTGCAGGCGGATGTGTTTACGGAGCATACTAGGCTTCTTACAGCGGATACCACACTCCTCACACACATATCTGCCCCTGCCTCGACCCCGCACGTACACATACTCCTCACTAGACCTGTAGCTAAAGGGATGAGAGAGACAGAGAACATTTTTTAATTAGTGTAGTGTAGTTTTATTATGTATAGGTAATGCTGCCACCAAAAAACCTTTGTGATATCACCAAAACCTTGTGACTTGATGCTATCACTCTTTCAATAACAACTAGGAATGGAGAGAAACGTGAGTGAACAGAGTTTCAAAAGTTCTGATCTTTTGATCTGAATCCCGGGTGAAATTTTTAGTGGTGAGTTCATTTCCACCCCTGATGAAACCACAGTCCATATGTCTGTAATACGCATTGATTCTTTATACTGTATATAGCACCTGCAAGCTGCTATAAAGTTTCCATTGATCACCGTATCTGTTTGGCACACGCCCTTCTGTGTGTATGCTTTTGGGCTGGAGTGTGTTCTGGTTTGGGGTTATAAAAGCCCCTCTGTGTGAAGCTGAAGTGGGGGCCCTGCAGTGGGACTCTAACCCCCATCACCACCCTCTCACACCACCACCACCCAACCCTAGTCCAAACACAGAAAGCCTGCGACATCAGCCGGGGTTTGGAATAGCCAGCCAATAAAAACACAGGGTTTGGAACAGCCAGCCAATAAAAACAGACAAGAGAGGGAGGGAAACCCTGGGCTCAGACCAGCTGCTCCAAATAAACAGAAAATAAAACACCTTTCTATTAATAGGAACAGGAATTACAATGATAGCTAACATGCTTAATTCTGTGTGTGTGTGTGTGTGTGTGTGTGTGTGTGTGTGTGTGTGTGTGTGTTGATTGTTACATGGAGCAGGCCTTCTCTGAAAAGCTCCTTAAATACCAGTCCCTCATATCATTCTTGGGCAGTCTGGGTGGCATTGATATTTGGCAGTCTGGGGCACGTACATAGGCTTACGGTACATGGCCTTCAGATTGCAGGGCTGCCTAAGAGTAGAGCAAAACCACTGTCTAGGTACTGCTCTGTTTCAGCCATTATGGGCAGCCTAGCTGTGTGGAGGAGAAGGTGCTTTTTGTTTCCTTAAGTGTCCTTGCATCAACGACCTTTGAAATGTTTGAATCCTTTATGATGTAATGTGATTTGTGGATTCAAATGAAGTATTTCAATTGTGTGTGTGTGTATGTGCGTGTGGATGCATGCGTGTGTACGTGCCCAATGACAAAAAATCCCACACGCCGAAACTGATATACAGCATGTAGGCACAATGATGGCCACCAACCAACTCACAATTCATAGTTTACTCTGACACCCATTCACAGATCCTGCCCCTAGCTTTATCTTCAGCGAGACAGCCTACACTAAATCCTCCCTCAGTCAGCCCACACTCCACCGTAATGTAGCCATACTGAAAGTTCATTGTTTGACTTCCTCTGTCTTTCACTGCTTTGTTTTATCATCCCTCACACACACACACACCGGCCCGAACAGATGGAGTTGGTGGGCTCAGAGCTACACACAGCGCAGCCGGGAATAGAGATGAGTCATTCCCAGCTAGCACATTGGGTTTCTTGGAAGTTGTGGGAACGTATGTTTTTGGTTTCACATTGGTTGTGGGAACAAAGCCACATTTTGCCAGTTCTGAGAACATTTTACTTTGGTTCCTTGAACGTGTTCCTTGGAGGTTTTATTAACGCTCTGAGAACGGAAATGATAGGTTATTTGGAGGTTTCTGAATAACATCCTTTCACTGAATGTTACAATAAGACTTAATAACACACACTGCTAGCTAACTTTGTTGAACTCCAAGCACAGATAGGACACATGGAAATTAATTAATTTAGGCATTAATCATGCAAACAAATCCATTTGTTATTGTGACACAACATCAGTGAGATTGGAACCCATAATCTTATTTTTTCCATCCATGGAATGACTCCACTGCGCCACCAGGATGGAGCTAGCATGCCATGTTTTTTTACTCATACACCTGTTCATTTTAGTCTATTCAAACAGACCCCATTACAAAGGAAACAAGCACTCATTAAGATCAGGTGTGGCAAATGAGTGGGCGCGGCCAACACACCTGAACACACTTAACAAGATAGAGGATAGAGAGAGTTTTGATGATGCTGAGAACGGAATGTATAAATCTCTAAATAACGTGCTTAGAACATTCTCTGAACGTTACTAAAGTCTTCTAGTGGTTTTTAAGGAACGTTTTCTTAACATCCTGAGCAGGGGCGTCATGCACCCATTATTTCAGAGGGGACACAAAGTACATGAGGATGGAGGAGGGGAGGTGGTCATTATGCCTAATAATCATTATGCCTAATTCTATGTCACAAATGTCTATTTTTCTAAGCATACCTCTTGACCAGTTCAATTGTCATTTTAACTAATGATGCACATCGATTATTTTAATAACTTTTATGCCTTATGAGTTTAGTACAACTGCCACACTGATATATAGTATCATAACAATTTGAGTATTTTCTTGCCAGCAGGCACACCAGCTAACGGCCCTGCTACACAATAGCCATTGAGGAAATGCTTCCTTTAAAATCAGTGAAAGCTGCTATACTTCCCATGTTGCGCTAGCATTGCGTCACATCCAATGGCAGTGTCCAAGCTCAAGAATCGCAGAAGTTCAATTCTCGATGGCTGACGCGCGCGTTCATGCCATCTTGTGAATTGAAATAATGAGAAATAAAGTTGATTTTGGTTGCCTATGGCTCGACTTTACACCACTGGTTATTGTACTAGGATTTATGTAGTCAAGAAGCTACTAGCTAGCAGAAACTCTAGCTAGCTACATTCACAATGTAAACAAAAGCAACTTGTGTAATTAAAGTATAATTGTACAGCTATTGTACAGTGCCTTCCACATTTTGTTGTGTTACAGCCTGAATTCAAAATGTATTAATTAGATTTTTTTCTCTCACCCATCTACACACAATACCGCATAATGACAAAGTGAAAACATGTTTTTAGAAATTGTAGCAAATGTATGGAAAAAGAAATGCAGAAATATCTAATTTACACTAGTATTCACATCCCTGAGACAATACTTCGTAAAAGCACATTTGGCAGCAATTACAGCTGTGAATTTGCTGGGTAAGTCTCTAAGAGCTTTCCACACCTGGATTGTGCAACATTTGTCCATTATTCTTTTCAAAATTCTTCAAGCTCTGTCAAATTGGTTGTTGATCATTGCTAGACAACCATTTTCCCTCTCGACAGAGGGACCTTACAGTTAATTGTATGTGTGGGGTACAGAGATGAGGTAGTCATTCAAAAATCATGTTAAACACTATTATTGCACACAGAGCCCATGCAGCATATTATGTGACTTGTTAAGCACATTTTTACTCCTGAATTTATTTAGGCTTGCCATAACAAAGGGGTTGAATACTTATTGACTCAAGACATTTCAGCTTTTCATTATCAATTAATTTGTAAACATTTCGAAAAACATAATTCTATTTTGACATTATGGGGTATTGTGTGTAGGCCAGTGACAACAAAATCTCAATTTAATCAATTTAACACAACAAACAAAATGTGGGAGAAGTCAAGGGGTGTGAATACTTTCTGAAGGCACTGTTCTTACGCACAATCAATGAATATGGGACAGTAGGGGGAAATAGAATAAAGACACTCTTCCCCTCTGCTCCTCTCAGCTCTCAAAACAATGCGCTCTGTGTAGCAGGTAGAACATCACATTAACACGACGCTAATGGCAAAGCGAGCAATGCTTATAGTGGAGCTGAGGTGTAAGATAGTTAGACAAGCTACTCTAACTTGATTGATAGCCTGTAATGGCTTGGTAGCTAGTTATGAGGTTGATAGATTGGGAACCTATCTAGCTGGCTAGCTAATGCCAGCTTCATAAAATTGCTAAGTGGCTTTATACCACTGACATAAATAATTATGATAAAACATGGGCTTAAAAATGAAGTTTAGTCATTAAAAACCCCTGTAGGTCTAAGCCCTTAGATCGCAATATCTACTAAGCTAACATATGGAATTGTTTTAGGATGGTCATAAAATTGCTAATTTAGCTATTTGATTTGGAATTTTAGGACCCCTGTAAGTATATTAGTTAGCTCAAACGGTTCAATCTGGACAGTCAGTTTTGTGAGAAGACCTCTTCGAAATTATGACGTCTGCGTCAAAGAGTTCAGACGACTGCCGTAAAGCTTGTGGATGTCATAGAGCAAAACAAATGACACTGTCGTGTTCGTGAGAGTCTCATCTTTCATCTTTTTAGTTTGTAGCTCAAAAGGTTTTGGGTTCTACAGGCGATTTCGTTATGGTTTTCTTGTCTGGATCCTCTCAAGTGTAGAAAACACAGCTTTAACAAGCCCCATGTTATGGAATAGCCACTGCAAGAAACGTAAAGTCTCTAGCATAAACACACGGGGAGCTATTCAATAATGAAAATGACATCACGGTGTGACGCACAGGTGCGTCAATAGACTCTAGGTTTTTTTTATTTAATCTTAAACAAAAACTAAAAAGGACAATGCTGACGGGGCACGTGCCCTTGTGCCTATGGGCATCTGGTTCTTAGACGGAATGTATGTTTTTAAAAACATTCTTAGAACGTTCTCTGAACATTACTAAAGCCTTAACGTTCTCTGAACTATTTGAGAACATTCCCAATGTCAAAACAGTTGGAGAACGTTCCTAGAACATTACCATAATTGAAATTAAATGTAACCATGTTTGAACTTTTAGGAAATGTTCTGTTAAATTAATGAAATAGCAAGAAAATATAGATTATTTTGGGGTCAAATTCCTTAAATGTGCTGAGAATGTTCCAAAGCCAAGCAACTATCCTGCACCATTCCCAGAAAGTTGTGGGATAATCACGGCCATAGGACAACCACGCTCTCACCAAGCTCTAAGAAACATATGGTTCTCAAGACGTTATGTGCTAGCTGGGATGTGGCTGATGAGAAGAAGGCTGTGAACCTGAGTCATGACAAAAACAACAGGTTCCCAGGGGTACTCGGAGAGATGCAGAGGAACGCACAGATGGCACCTCAGTGGCACAATCACAGATATGATAGAGGAGACCAAGTGTTCTCAGAAGTTTCAGTTATGTCTGCTTTATAACCTCAGTGTGATTCAATCTAGCTGTGTGGATTAACGTAAATGAACATAGATGAATCAGAGCGCTCTCAATCTCTCACAGCTCTTTCTCCTATCTGACACATCCTACATAAGTCCCATTACTAGAGAAGCAGAGTTAGTATCAAACAACACTTTCTTCATCTAGGTATATACCTTCCTCTCTCTCCTCTGAAAATAGTATCCCTCTTATGTTCCCTGTCTACAAATAGATACACATAAACCCAGAAGCACAGAGAAATCATGTCAGTTCTCATTCATTCAATCAATCACCATCTAAAATGGGAATGAAATCGGCCACTCCTCCCCTCTACAGCTGAATGGCCAGAACCATTGACTGTGTTGGGTGTAACTGAGCATCTACAGGGTACAGTAGAGGAAGATGGGTAGTTGTTGGTCATTTCCTGGCTAGGGCCACTCAACAGACAGGCTCTGTTGGTGTAGTCAGACAGCCAACCCTTAGCCCCTCATGTCCTGCAGAGGGGAATGACAACACTTCCCAGCACTGCACACACGACACAGAGACTAAATACCCGCACTGCCATGGTACACATGTACCATGGCTTGCACCGTATAGAGAAACACTTGTAAGGCTGAGTGTAGTTTCTAATGTCTTTATGAATGTAAAGCCAATGAAGCTTTGCATTTTTTAATTATGTAATATTGGGAAGTGTTATTTCAACTGTCAAATGTAATCAGTCATAGACTACTCACCCTCCCTCACAGATCCAGATTCGAGGTGGAGGTTCTCTACATTTGCTGGTCGACTGGGCCTCCTCTTCTTTTTCTGCCTCTTCCTTCTCTTCCTCCTTCTCTCGTTCTTTCTTTGGCTCCTTGTCCTCTGCGGACTGCTCTTGCTCTGTTGTCTCGACACGGTGGCTGTCGCCAGGCAGAGTGGCATGTACCTACACTCGAGAGAGACATGCAGGGCAAATTCACCAACCCTGCTCCAGCAAGATCAGGCCAAGGAAACAGGGATGGGGGGAATTCATCATAACTTATGTGTCTCAGTACTTATCTAAATTATACTGTAGCATTACAATTTACAATATAGGCCTAGACGCTTCAAATGAGAAGTAACTAAATGTAAGACTGTATAGGATCATTAACAAAATATAGTATGAAAGACTACAACACATAGTACAGTATGGGACAAGGTAAAATAACTAAACGCATACAGTATTCCATATTTCACATTGGCCATTCTATGAGGAGGCCTCCAGTAAAGTCTACTTACCTCAGAAGGGCATGGCGTCTTCATGTCGGCAGGCTCTGGTGGGGTCTCTGCCGGGATGGATGACATGGGAGACATGGTGTAGATAGTGGGGCTGACCCTCTGCTTGCAGTCCAACAGCGATAGGGCTGTCTTGCTGGAGAGGCCTGGAGGGTTGGGGTCATACTCGCTGGTAGACCAGGAGGAGTACACTGAGGGCTGGTCAGTCGAGGTGGTGGGGTTTGGCTTGACGTAGTTTAGATAACACCAGCTGTGAGAGGTGGTGGACTGGAGGGTTGGATATGAAGGTCCTTCTGGACTTATGGGAGTACACACCCTAGGTAAACATGTTGGAATCTCAACCTCTTCTTCTTTTGTTGATGTTTCCGTGATTACGTTTCCTACACAACTCTCCTCTTCTTCTTCCTCCTCCTTCACTCGTTTCTGCTGCTGTTTGGAATCGGGGCTAAAATCGACACTGTTTGAAGGGGATAACATGCGCTTGTTGCTCCCTGAGCCTGAAGATCTACAGCCCTCCTCAGACCACAACTGGCTGCCTGGAGGCAGAGGCAAAGCCAAGTGGTTGCCTGGAGGCAGAGTCAACTGGCTGACTGGTAGCAGAGTCTCAGACAACCTCTTGCTGCCTGCAGGCAGAGTCATGACCAGGTGGCTGTTATGCTCAGACGTTGGGGTATTTCTATTGCCACTGTTTAATCCAGAACACACAGGTTCCTGGGACCTAGATGTTGTGGTTTGGGACAGAGTGGTGTATATGGCACTGGCTAGGGTGTTGGTGTCTGCCTGTAGCCGGACTACTGCTACTGCTGGTGATATGGAGGGCCGGAGTAGTTCTGGGCTGAGTGTGATGTTAGGGTGAGGGTGGAGGATCTGCGGAGGATGTGTTACAAACTCTGAATGTCCATCATGACTGTGAGTTGGGACTGGGATCTCCAGCTTCAGGCCTGTGGATATTGGAAGGTAGTGGGCCCTAGCAATCCCTAATGGGCACTGGGTGGGGAGGGGGTGGGGAGGGTAGATAGGGCGGGATTGGGCAGGGTGGATATAGGTGTGGACAGGACGGAGGGAGATAATTACAGGCTTCCCTGAACAGAGAGGTGATGGGGATACCCTCTGGAGGGGATCAGGAGATTCTACAGAGTTCTGAGAGGCTAGGTCTTCAGAGCAATGTCCAGTCAACTGAATACTTTGACCCAGTTTCCATTGTGAGGGGGGCTCTTGGCAAAGAGGGTTACAGGACGTGGGTTCGCCTGACAGAGGGGAACCAGCGGCCGGACTAAGGTGTTGAGGACCTGGGCTTAGTTTAGAAGAAGTGCTGGGACTGACAGGGTCAGGACTGGGGCTGCAGTGAGAAGGGTTGTTCACCTTTAGTGCTGTGTGTTTGGCAAAAATGGAGGAACTGGGGTTCAGCTTTAGTTCTGCAGGCTTAGCAGGCTGCTCCTCCTCCTCTGGGTCCCTGACCGCAGTGTGTCTCATAAGGAGACATTTGCGTCTGTCTCTCCAGCCGGCCGCCGAGCGCTCAGGGGACAAACTGCTGTAGTCAAAAGACTTGCTTCGCATCTCCGACATTGCCATCAAAACAGATTGCTGCTTTGGGTCGTGAGGTGCTTGCTCTGAGGCCGACCGCCGCATCTCCCTTTTGTGATGATGCAGCCCTGGGACGGTCAACATGTTAGGGGCCCTGGACCTCCTCAATGGTGTCCCAGCCAGGGTCTCCATGTCTCCGGGTCTGGTGGACTCCTCAAAGGATGCAGAGTGGCTAGATGCGTGGGATGCACAGCTGTCCTGGCTGGGGCTGTGAGGCAGGGAGATGGAGTCAAAGCTGGACATGGACTCCCCTGAAGACTGGGCGGCCTCGGCCAGGCGAATACGTTTCTTCTTTGGGGGCAGCTTCTCGATGGGTACCCCAGACAGGGTGAGGCTCCTCTGTGGCCACTGGAACTCCTCTGTCCTCTTGGTCTGTTTAGGCATTATGGATGCTGTTTCTGACTGTGTCTGAACAGACTCAATAACATTGGTGTTGGAATCCTCAGTGATTAATATCTCAGGGACTTGAACATTGTGTTGGCGCACCAGTTTGCGAGGTGTTGGTTTGGACGAGTGTTCCTGCAGTTGTTTTTGGGATGCATCCTCATGAGATTGGAATTTAATATGCGCCTCCTCTTTACCTTGACTCTCTGTAAACAAAGTGTCCTGTTTCTCAAATGAACTAGTATGCTGAATCACTGAGAAACCTTTTGATGTCCCTCCCCGATCCTGCTCTAACCGTGACCATGAGTTTCTATTGCATGCTACACTTTTTTCGTCTCTGTCATGCACCAATGTGGACAAGGTGGGTATGGATAAAGAAACAGGAGAGGATGGATCATCAGATTCAAAACTCTCCTCTTTCCTTCTCTTGCGCATTGCCAAAGCCCCTGGTCTGCTGATCGGATAGTGCATCAACTGTGAACGGTCCAGCTGGCATTTTGTTGTACCAAGACTCTCTTGGGGAAGTCGTGCTATACAAGGACTTCTCTTGTGTGCCTTATAACCTTCCCAGTTCTTACATACAATGCCACAGGACTCACACTCGTACGGCTCTGGTTGACATTGCTTGTGGTCAGGAGGCACGACGGACATATTGTGATTGGAGCGCGTGTTGGAGCTACTGAGTAAACTATGTCCCTCTTTAGTGAATTCAGCACCTGGGGGTAGTTCGATAGCAGGCTGGCGTCGTAGCATCCCAATGCGGCGAGACTGTGTTTCAGACCGTTCATCGAAAGATTGGCTAAGGCGGAAGTTTTGTGGGCAGACGCCAGAGGAGGCATTAGTTGAACTAGCAGCAGAGGGCATAGAGAGGCTTCTCAGAAGAGGAGCCATGGAAGTGGATGTCTGGCCTGCCGTTGAATCCATGTGTAGTGACTGGTGATGATGGAACTTCTCACACGGAACACCCATAGTGATGGAACCACTGCTCTTAAAGCCTGGGTCTCCAGGGTTGTTGGTGCTGTGGTGGACTACAGGTGGCTCTTTCAGAGATAAAGAAACCTTAGAGTTAGACTCTGTGCTACTTCTCCTAGACAGAGAGAACCTCCTGGGCTTGACGCTGTCGATCTTACTTGTGTCCACCACAGCCTCATTGATGGTGATGAGGTTGGTGATGTGGTCAATGACCTGCTTCTTGGGCACTGTGAATGGGATGCTCTTTTCCTGCTGTCCCTGGCTTCCAGAAGGCTGCTGGTCCTGATGCCGGGACATCCTCTGGAGGTGGCCCAGACGGCCATATTTCCCCAGGATGATCTCTGCGTAGCTTTTGGCACTTGTTACGTTGGGTGGGCTGTCCTGTGACTGCTCAGTGCTCTCAGAACGAGAGAAATAGCCAGACTCTGTGCTGCCTCTACTCCCCATACCCAACGAGGAACTGATCGAGTCAGACGAGCCTAGAGGGCCACGTTTCCCTCGGCTCAAACGCATGGCCAGCCTCTTCTTGACAGCGTAGGAGTTGTCCATCCCACTGGACTGCTCTGTAGGCCTCTCAGTGTCTTTATGGGTCTTCTCGTTGGCTACGCTGCCTTGTCTCTCCAAGTTGGAGGAGGCAGCAGACAATTGCTGTCTAGTTTCGTCTTCTGACTCTGGCACCGGTTCTTCTAAAGCACTGGGCTCTACAGAGGCGAGGCCGGCCTTCACCCTGTGGGTATGGGACTTCCGGTGCTTGTAGAGGTTGCTCTTGGTCTTGAAAGAAAAACCGCAGGGAGCACAGGGGTAGGGCCTCTCTCCTGTGTGGGAGCGGATGTGTTTCTGCAGGACACTGGGCTTGGCACAGGCACGGCCGCAGTAAGAGCACACATATTTCCCAGGTTTTCCAGGCTTACGCTCCCGTTTCTGCTTTAGGGTGCCCTCCTGGTTCTCCTCTGTGGCAGGAGCCTCTGTAGACTGGGTGGAGGTGGATGATGAGGAGGGAGTCGCCGGGGTCCTGCCAGACGAAGTCCGAGCCACTCTGGTCGGTGTTGCCTCTCCCTTTGCATGCTTACCCTCCTCCGCTGGTGGGGTGTCAGAATCAACGCTTTGCCTCTGATGTCTGAGACGCTTGCGCTCCCGCTTATTAGGCAGTTTGTGGTGTTGTCCATGGTGCTGCTGTTGTTGTTGTTGAGGGCCTCCTTGTTTGGAGTGAGTCTGTTGTGTCTGCGGTTCATGGTTCTGGGAGGAGGGAGATTTGAGAGGCTGAGGTTCTGGGAGAGGCAGAGCAGACTCTCCTGGCTGAGGCTGGTCGTGACCTCCGGACTGCTCCCCAGTCGGCAAGTGGCTGCAGCTGTGCAACGCCTCCATAAAACGGAACAACAACCTCAGGTAGACACCTGGGATCCCTCCGCCTGAGCCTGAGACAGGCCGCACAGGTCAAGCCTATTCATTTAACGGACTCTGAGATTTGTGTATGATGAGTATTTTGTTCCTTAGTTATATCTGTCTTGTACTGGCTTTCAGGCTGTCTGTACTCATACTTAGTACTTACTCAGGTCAAGCCATTCATTTAATGGATGATGGGCAACAACTGTGATTTGTCATGCGGTGATGAGGAACTACTTTTCCATCCTGAGCCAAAGAAGCATCCCATTTTGGAGCTTGGTTGGCTCCCAGAGTCAACAACTTTGCCCTCTGAGCCTCTGAGGCAGTCCCGTCAGATAGTCCTGTTACCAGGTATTCAGGTTTTCAGATCCAGTTTTCAGGACTGTTGGTTGGATGTCTGTGTCCTCTGGTTCACTCCAGAGGATCTAAAATAAGAAAAAAGAAAAGATCAGATGACAGACAGACCCACCTGAGGGGTAGTCTCTATCTCTCCTTCTTTCTCTCTTTCACACACACACAGTGAGCACACATGGATGCACACACACACAAAATGAAATTACATCATGAAGACAGATGGCAGAAACAAACACTGACAGTCTCTCTCCGCCCACTATGATCTAAAAACATTACTGTTGAAGGGAGGGAACCAAACAGCTAAAAAGCAAGGTTGTCATCACTGTTATTTCATCAAGATGGATGATGGATGATCAAGTTGGAAACAAAACTTGGAGTTTGGTCGTGTTAAAGGGGCACATTTCTCATAGTGACCAGTTTCAGTTGCACTTTGTCAACAACAACAAAAAACATTGGCATGATATAAAAAGTGAAAAACGTACACCTAAAATGTAGGTGTTATTTACCAAACTGTGATTCGGAATCTGGTTACAAAAACTAGCATCTCATTTACCTGACTATTATGAAGAAAAACACTCCAAGTCATAGCATCCATTTTCAGATTCTGCAACTAATAACCCCTTGAATAGTTCCCAATCAGCCGTGTGCATTGCACATTGCTCAATCATAAGCTTCTATGTGTTTCTCAGGGATCACACTCCCAAGACAAGGGAAACTGATTTTTCCTCTTGATTGCCCAACTCATGAGCTTTTGTTGCAGCCAGAAGAGCCAATAGTTTCATTCATCCAGATTCCCCCAAAGTCTCCCAACCCCTGCTGCTTACACTAGCTAAAAAGAATTAGGCCAAATGCAAATGGTGTAGTCTGCAGCTAGACACTGCCATAAGATAACACCAACACCTCTCCCATTAGGGAGTGGATTACGTCATTCAGCTGTGAAAAAAATACACTCCGGCATCTATGCAAATACTCATCTACAATAACACATTTGAGTTCTAATTTCTCCTTATTCTAACTTTGCACTGTCAAACAAGCAGACTTCTCTAATGATAGCAATTCACTGAAAGCCCATTAAGTAATATACATTTCACCAAATAATTTGTTCTTAATACATTTTAATACATACAGTTGAAGTCGGAAGTTAACATACACCTTAGCCAAATACATTTAAACTAACTTTTTCACAATTCCTGACATTTAACCCTAGTAAATATTCCCTGTCTTAGGTAAGTTAGGATCACCACTTTATTTTAAGAATTTGAAATGTCAGAATAATAGTAGAGAGAATGATTTATTTCAGCTTTATTTCTTTCATCACATTCCCATTGGGTCAGAAGTTTACATACACTCAATTAGTATTTGGTAGCATTGCCTTTACATTGTTTAACTTGGGTCAAACTTTTCGGGTAGCCTTCCACAAGCTTCCCACAATAAGTTGGGTGAATTTTGGCCCATTCCTCCTGACAGAGCTGGTGTAACTGAGTCAGGTTTGTAGGCTTCCTTGCTCGCACACGCTTTTTCAGTTCTGCCCACACATTTTCTATAGGATTGATGTCAGGGCTTTGTGATGGCCACTCCAATACCTTGACTTTGTTGTCCTTAAGCCATTTTGCCACAACTTTGTAAGTATGCTTGGGGTCATTGTCCATTTGGAAGACCCATTTGCGACCAAGCTTTAACTTCCTGACTGATGTCTTGAGATGTTGCTTCAATTTATCCACATAATTTTCATTCCTCATGATGCCATCTATTTTGTGAAGTGCACCAGTCCCTCCTGCAGCAAAGCAACCCCACAGCATGATGCTGCCACACCCGTGCTTCACGGTTCGGATGGTGTTCTTCGGCTTGCAAGCAACCCCCTTTTTCCTCCAAACATAACGATGGTCATTATGGCCAAACAGTTCTATTTTTGTTCAGAGCAGAGGACATTTCTCCAAAAAGTAAGATCTTTCTCCCCTGGCTTTTTTATGGCGGTTTTGGAGCAGTAGCTTCTTCCTTGCTGAGCGGCCTTTCAGGTTATGTCGATATAGGACTCGTTTTACTGTGGATATAGATACTTTCGAACCTGTTTCCTCCAGCATCTTCACAAGGTCCTTTGCTGTTGTTCTGGGATTGATTTGCACTTTTCTCACCAAAGTACGTTCATCTCTAGGAGATAGAACGCATCTCCTTCCTGAGCGGTATGATGGCTGTGTGGTCCCATGGTGTTTATACTTGCGTACTATTGTTTGTACAGATGAACGTGGAACCTTCAGGCGTTTGGAAATTGCTCACAAGAATGAACCAGACTTGTGGAGGTCTTGGCTGATTAATTTTGATTTTCCCATGATGTCAAGCAAAGAGACACTGAATTTGAAGGTAGGCCTTGAAATACATCCACAGGTACACCTCCAATTGACTCAAATGATGTCAATTAGCCTATCAGAAGCTTCTAAAGCCATGGAATTTTCCAAGCTGTTTAAAGGCACCGTCAACTTAGTGTATGTAAACTTCTGACCCACTGGAATTGTGATACAGTGAATTATAAGTAAAATTATCTGTCTGTAAACAATTGTTGGAAAAATTACTTGTGTCATGCACAAAGTAGATGTCCTAACCGACTTGCCAAAACTATAGTTTGTTAACAAGAAATTTGTGGAGTGTTTGAAAAACGAGTTTTAATGACTCCAACCTAAGTGTATGTAAACTTCTACATTTACATTTTAGTCATTTAGCAGACGCTCTTATCCAGAGCGACTTACAGGAGCAATTAGGGTTAAGTGCCTTGCTCAAGGGCACATTTACGTCATTTCGCAGACGCTCTTATCCAGAGCGACTTACAAATTGGTGCATTCACCCTATAGCCAGTGGGATAACCACTTTACAATTTTTTTTATTTTTTTTCTTTATTTCTTATTTTAATTTATTTATTTTATTTTTTATTTTTTATTTTTTTGTATGTAAATGTAAATGTCTAAAATGTAATGTAAAATGTAAACTTCTGACTTCAACTCTACACTAATTGGCTCCAAAACTAAATGGCTCCAAAACTCTAACTGATGTAGTGAAAGACTTCTAAACGCCGGGCAGCCAAATACAAACAATCTTTATCATCTTAGCTTTGTATGATCTCTGTTTCTCATGAGGATAATATACAAGGTGACACAGTGCATAATCAGATACGGGAGGAAATGAACTCACTCTACTTTCTCTGCGCTAACATACTGCAATGTAGCAAAAACCCAGTCATCCCATAAACTAGGTGCATTCTAATATCCACACTAAAGTACCACCTAGAATGCATGCCCAATACATTACTTCGTACTAGGAAGTATGCAAGGATGGTATTTGAACAGATCCACTGACCAGTTGGTTGCAGTCAGCATACAAGTTCCTCTGGAAGAGGGCAAAACCACAGGAGTACAGTGGCTTGCGAAAGTATTCACCCCCCTTGGCATTTTTCCTATTTCGTTGCCTTACAGCCTGGAATTAAAATAGATTTTGGGGGGGTTTGTATCATTTGATTTACACAAGATGCCTACCACTTTGAAGATGCAAAATATATTTTCTTGTGAAACAAACAAGAAATAAACAGAAAACTTGAGCGTGCATAACTATTCACCTCCGCAAAGTCAATACTTTGTAGAGCCACCTTTTGCAGCAATTACAGCTGCAAGTCTCTTGGGGTCTGTCTCTATAAGCTTGGCACATCTAGCCACTGGGATTTTTGCCCATTCTTCAAGGCAAAAGTGCTCCAGCGCATTCAAGTTGGATGGGTTCCGCTGGTGTACAGCAATCTTTAAGTCATACCAAAGATTCTCAATTGGATTGAGGTCTGGGCTTTGACTAGGCCATTCCAAGACATTTAAATATTTCCCCTTAAACCACTTGAGTGTTGCTTTAGCAGTATGCTTAGGGTCATTGTCCTGCTGGAATGTGAACCTCCATTCCAGTCTCAAATCTCTGGAAGACTGAAACAGGTTTCCCTCAAGAATTTCCCTGTATTTAGCGCCATCCAACATTCCTTCAATTCTGACCAGTTTCCCAGTCCCTGCCGATGAAAAACATCCCCACAGCATGATGCTGCCACCACCATGCTTCACTGTGGGGATGGTGTTCTCGGGGTGATGAGAGGTGTTGGGTTTGCGCCAGACATAGCGTTTTCCTTGATGACCAAAAAGATCAATTGTAGTCTCATCTGACCAGAGTACCTTCTTCCGTATGTTTGGGGAGTCTCCCACATGCCTTTTGGTGAACACCAAACGTGTTTGCTTATTTTTTTCTTTAAGCAATGGCTTCTTTCTGGCCACTCTTCCGTAAAGCCCAGCTCTGTGGAGTGTACGGCTTAAAGTGGTCCTATGGACAGATACTCCAATCTCCGCTGTGGAGCTTTGCAGCTCCTTTAAGGTTATCTTTGGTCTCTTTGTTGCCACTCTGATTAATGCCCTCCTTGCCTGGTCCGCGACTTTTGGTGGGCGGCCCTCTCTTGGCAGGTTTGTTGTAGTGCCATATTCTTTCCATTTTTTAATAATTTATTTAATGGTGCTCCGTGGGATGTTCAAAGTTTCTGATATTTTTTTAGAACCCAACCCTGATCTGTACTTCTCCACAACTTTGTCCCTGACCTGTTTGGAGAGCTCCTTGGTCTT